AAAATATAGATTTAGTCAGAAATACTTTGTTGGTATATGTATGTACACTAAAAAAATGTATAATCCTTAGGGAAGAGGATATTCTGAGAGAGACACTAAGCTGATATGCAAAAATATTAAATAAATGAATGGCAGTGACTCACGGATGAATGAGTGTAAGGAAAACCCAAGGCCCCAAGAGGAAATACCTCCGACAGCTCCCTCCACACCTGCCCCATGCTCCGGGGGTCCCTAGTGCCGGCTGCGACCCAGGCCCTAACCCTGCAGAGGAGGTCAGTGCCTGGGGTCGCTCTGCCTTTCCCTCCCACCTGTCCCTCCCCCATCTCTGGCAGTTGCAGGAATAGCGGGGTCTTGGTCCGTCCCTGAGCTGTGGCTCGGGAAGGCAGCACAGCCTGGACTCCAGAATCACATAATTCACTCACCCACAGCAGCCCCTTCCCCGGGGGCTGACAGATCCCACACCAGCAGGAACCGCCTGAGGGAGTCCTGACACAGGAAGGGGGCTGAGGAGGTTCTGTGAGGCTTTCTCCAACCCGGGCCAGTTTCCACCTGTCTCACTTGGGACAGACGAGAAATTAACGGACAGTGAGAGATACCAGTCTCCTCGTGCAAGTCAGCCCTTCTGGAAATATCCGAGACACTCACAGGGAGCCGTGTCCAGCACACAGAAAAAGCTCTTGATTTCCTGGGTGAGGCCCACGACTCCCAGAAATTCTTGCCGGGTTCTGAAATTTAACCCGAAGATGAAGGCAACGGCTAGAAAGCAGGGAAGGGTCGGGGTAGCCCCTGCCTCGGTCTCAGAATCCGAGGAGAGGAAGCAAGACCCTCTCCAGCGTGGCCCTGCCTGTGCTGAGCCCAGGAGTCTGGAGCTCCGGGTCAGGAAGCTGTCAGCCCACAGGAAAATGCCTCTGAGAAGCTCTGGGGGCAGCCTTCCAGCACGGAGGCATGAGCCGGCCCGGTCCCCAGGCAAATCTGTGGTAATTGCATCGAATGACCCTGCAGAGGCTCTGGAAATGGCCCCAAAGCCAAATAGCCAGTGAAGAGACCTCTACCGGGAATGGCTACGGACACATAGAAAGAAGGGTCAGAGCTTGCGTGGCAGGAGCCAAGATCACACTCTGCCCCCACCTCGCCCCACCAGGTCCTCAGGGTTGAGTCCTCTCCCGACCGTAGGGCCGGACACAGGGCTCTCTCCCCCAGTGTCAGCCGGAGGGCTCTACCCCGCAGGAGCAGGACCTCATCACTTCTCGTCCTGCCTGGCCGCCTCCGGCTGAGCCCCCGGTGAGCAAAGTCCGAGACTGGGGCTCCCTGCTGCGCAGCTCCCAGTCGTGGAACAGAGGCTCTGCCTGGGGCTCGAAGCACTGGGCATGTAGGGACCCGGATTGTCCTTGCTTTGGGTCATGAGCTGGAGGCTCTCCAAGCCAAGGGAGGCAAGCGGCTTTCCCTCCACTGAGTGCTCAGCCCCTGGAGGGCCGGGGAGGTGCCTCAGAGAGAAGTTCCACCAGCAGCTCCAGAGACCCGGCTCAGAGGTTTTGCTGGGCAAGAGAAGCAGGCCACAAAGCAGATGGTTCCAATCTCTTCCCCCCAAACTGGCTTCCTCTGCAATAGAATGTGACATTCAAGCCCAAGGTCAGTGTCAGAGACAGTGCCTCTGTGGTGGAGGGAGGGGGAGGACAGGCAGGGACCCATGAAGATTCAGTCTCAGCTGTAGGTCAGCCCCTTTGCAGGAGCGGACCGTGGAATAAGCGGTCTGAGTCCTCACGTCAGGAAAAACAGCAAACGCTCCTTCAGCGCAGCCGGCACTGCACTGGAGCGCGTGCAGAGCACTCCGCACAGGACGGCCTGGCTGAGCTGCTTGAGGGCCAGCGAGCGGTCAGGGGAGTCAGCGAGGTGCGGTCAGGCGGCCCTGCCAACACATGGGTACGGCAGAGTGACTGGGCCGAGGCCGCCGCTGTGCCTCCCCGAGCGGGGGCCGTGGGGAGAATGAGAGGACCAGACCAGGCGCTCAGTACTGAACCAGCCACCGGCAGCCCCCAGCCTGGAAAGGGGCAGCCAGGACCCGGCATTGCCGCAGCATATGGTCTAAACTGTCCAGGTTTCAGCAGAAACGCAAGAGCAGGCCGAGAAACTATGGCCCATTCTCCGGAGAGAAAGCAGCCCACAGGAACTGCACGTCAGAGTCAGATGTGGCCTTTCACAGGAAAAGACGCAGAACAGCCTATGAACATGGGCAGAGAGCTAGAGGAAAGCCGGCTCAAGGATGCGAAGGGGGCTGGGAGGCAAAGTTACACAAAGCAGAGGACATCAATAAAGAGATAGACATGGTTCTTTTTGAAAAATTATTTTTATTAACATATAAGGTATTCTTTGCCCCAGGGGTGCAGGTCTGTGAATCGTCAGTCTTACACACTTCACAGCACTCCCCAGAGCACTTTCCCTCCCCAGTGTCCATCCCCCAGCCTCCCTCTCCATACCTCTCCCCCCGGCAACCCTCAGTTTGTTTTGTGAGATTAAGAGTTTCTTACGGTTTGTCTCCCTCCCTATCCCATCTTGTTTCATTTTTTCCTTCCCTACCCACCACGACCCCCCACCCTGCCTCTCAGATTCCTCATATCAGGGAGATCATATGATAATTGTCTTTCTCCGATTGACTTATTTCGCTCAGCATAATACCCTCTAGTTCCATCCACGTCGTCGCAAATGGCAAGATTTCATTTCTGTTGATGGCTGCATAGTATTCCATTGTGCATATATACCACATCTTCTTTATCCATTCGTCTGTTGATGGACATCTAGGTTCTTTCCATAGTTTGGCTATTGTAGACATTGCTGCTATAAACATTCGGGTGCACGTGCCCCTACGGATCACTACGTTTGTATCTTTAGGGTAAATACCCAGTAGTGTGATTGCTGGGTCGTAGGGTAGCTCTATTTTCAACTTTCTGAGGAACCTCCATGCTGTTTTCCAGAGTGGTTGCACCAGCTTGCATTCCCACCAACAGTGTAGGAGGCTCCCCTTTCTCCGCATCCTCACCAGCATCTATCATTTCCTGACTTGTTAATTTTAGCCACTCTGACTGGTGTGAGGTGGTATCTCATTGTGGTTTTGATTTGTATCTCCCTGATGCCGAGTGATGTGGAGCACTTTTTCATGTGTCTGTTGGCCATCTGGATGTCTTCTTTGCAGAAATGTCTGTTCATGTCCTCTGCCCATTTCTTGTTTGGATTATTTGTTCTTTGGGTGTTGAGTTTGCTAAGTTCTTTATAGATTTTGGATACTAGCCCTTATCTGATATGTCGATTGCAAATATCTTCTCCCATTCTGTCAGTTGTCTTTTGGTTTTGACCAAAAGACAACTTTGCTGTGCAAAAGCTTTCGATCTTGATGAAGTCCCAATAGTTCATTTTTGTATAGCTCCCTTGCCCTTGGCGATGTTTCTAGGAAGAAGTTGCTGTGGCTGAGGTTGAAGAGGTTGTTGTCTGTGTTCTCCTCAAGGATTTTTATGGATTCCTTTCTCATACTTAGGTCTTGCATCCAATTTGAGTCTATTTTTGTGTGCAGTGTAAGGAAATGGTCCAGTTTCATTTTTCTGCACGTGGCTGTCCAATTTTCCCAACACCATTTGTTGAAGAGACTGTCTTTTTTTTTCCATTGGACGTTCTTTCCTGCTTTCTTGAAGATTAGGCGACCATAGAGTTGAGGGTCTATTTCTGGGCTCTCTATTCCATTCCAATGGTCTATGTGTCTGTTTTTGTGCCAGTACCATACTGGAGATAGACATTATTCTTATAAAGAGGGAAAATCAATCGAAGGAAAGGATAGTCACTGAAATCTAACAGTTCAACACAAAAGGTCTGGTCTCCAGCCCTACACCTAAGGAGCCTGGAGATTGTCACTCCCGGCTTGGCAACAGGAGAGCAGGTGCAGAAATTGAAAATCAAGAACTCGTCTTGGCTCCCTCTGAGAAGGCACAGGGTGAACAGCCCCACACCAGAGAAACGGGTGAGAAGAGGGGCTTACAAACCAGGAGTCCCCAAAGGCACTGAGTCCCTGGGGGAGACTTTAGGGGACCAAGTCCAGGGATAAAACTTCCATAGCTCAAGGGAGACCCACCGTGTTCTCGGAGTGAGGAACAGAGGAAAATTCCCTCCTGCTTCTGGTAGGAAAGGGAACCCCAAGTCCTCCTGAGCAAAGACACGGCCTTGGGAAGAGCCCAGCCACTGTGGGGGATGAAGAGACCCTGCCCAGTCCTGTTGGCCTTCCCATCCACCCTAAGCCAGGAAAGAAAGGTCGCCAGCCGGGGCAGGGGGGCTCGTGAAGGGCTAAGGCCTCACCCTGGCGTGACAGACCCCCACAGCAGGCCATGCGCACAGCGCACCCTGCTGAGACCAGGACACTGGAACGGAGCGAGCGAGGCCCACAGCCTGACGGGGACGTGCCCACATTGGAACCCTGGAGCTGCAGCCATGACACCGAAGGGGCCACGCAGCCTGTGGGGAAAACACCGGGGCTGTTCTGCAGATGGAGAAATAGGTGCCGAGTGGGGGATGGGCACAACGTAACTCAGAGCGGCCAAGTAGTGGAGACAGTTAAGTGTCCAGCAAGTCACTACTGGGTGAGAAAGGTCTTCTACCCACAGGACGGAGTATCACGTGGCCGTAAGATGGAAAGAAGTATGGACAGATGCTAAGACAAAATTAAGCTTCAGAACATTCGACGGGAAAGCAGCCTCTCCCAGAGTGTGTGACAGAATGAGGGAAATGCAGAGAGATGCCGACATGTAAAGGGAATGACAGACATAGGGGACCGGGAGATGGGGAGCGAGTCAGTGATCCGGATGAGGCTTACTTTTGGTTATAAAAATGATCTGCAACTAAATATTAGTTACGGTTGTCGCACACCAAGTGTGTCTCCACTGACACACTGTGAAATGGATAAAACGGCAAACTCTGTTTTGCACGTTACATGGGTTAAAAAGCCAAGTTCTATAAAATACGACTTCCATCAGTTACAGTAAAAGAAAGTGAAGATTAAGCAGCACACAGCCCTTTGTGCCACCCTCCTCTGGTGGAAACTGATACCCCGTGGTTGGCCCACCTAGTGCCAGCCAAGTCACCAATTACAAAACACCAGGAAAGAGAAACTTCTGAGAAGCCAAAAACCTGCCCTCGGGGGGAGGGCCCCTGAGCACTGTCCCTGCATCAGACTCACCCACTCGGTGTCTGCATCCGGAGCCCACTTCCCCACTCTGCGCCAGCTGGGACACACCTGCTCCTTTCAGAGATGGAGAGGGTCAAGGAGAACAAGGTGGACATCCTGGGGCCTCCCCAGAGCTCGGCTCCCGTGACCACCACTGTGATCAACATCCAGACGGAGACACCGGTGCCCGACCACATCGTCTGGTCCCTGTTCAACACCATCTTCTTGAACTGGTGCTGCCTGGGCTTCGTGGCCTTCGCCTACTCTGTGAAGGTACGTGTGCGGGGTTGGGGGGGTTGGGGGGG